CCCCCCCCCGGCGAGGATATGAGTAATGAATGGAAGATGTGAAGAGAGTAGAGGAGGAATGTAGATATGAGCAAGGAGGGGAATGTAATGTGAAGATTAGGTAACGATTGACAGTGAAAGGAATGGATTAGATGTTTGTCAATTGTCAATTAGAATATGTATAATTTATGTTATGAGATAAACGGATGTACAATTTTTTATGAAGTTTGTATAATTGTGACTATGTGAAAAACAATAAAAATATATTAAACAAAAAATAATATAATTCTGAAGGCGTATGATAGTATGATGTGCTATGCACATATACTGTATCTGTGAACCTTAGGGTCAACACAGACTTTATAGACATGTTAAAAAGAGAATGTGAGGTATGTTAAATGGTGTGAGGTAACATAAAAAAGGAAATAGTATGGGAAACTATAGTGATTTTCGATCATTTTTATTTTATAGTCTAATTAACTGTCAGTTTGAATCAGCTACATAAACGATAGGCGCAACAAAAGGTGTACAAAGTCACAAAGAAGAACTCTGATTCTGTCCTCAATCTCTTTTTCTATTTTAAAAGGGATATATAAGGGGTATGTTTAGAACCCTGATATTTCACCAATGCCCCCGACAGCAAAGTTAAAAAATAAAAATATGTAATTAAAAAAAAAAAGTAAAAAGTTTAGAAATAAATAAATAACAATAAAAATTTCTTTAAAAAAGTTTAAAAAAACTGTTTCTTGATTTCGGCCTGACAAATTTTTTTTTTTCGGTTTCGGTCAAAAAATTCCATTTTGGTGTACCTCTAGTAATTATTCCAGTTCCTTAAGAATAACTTTAAAATTGAGCTCTAACAGCATTAATGAGAAGAACACCTTTGCAGGTTAATGTAAGTTAAATGTTGCATGCATACAGCAGAGGCAAGCATTTCTGAAAGTGATCTGTTGATAGTGCTGAGACCTAAGACAAACTTCAAGTCAAGTTTTAAATACATAGGTGATAAGAGATATTCACTCAATATGTTTTATGTTACCATGTTAAATGGCTCTCACTTGCCAAAATCATTTTTTTTAGTATGTCCTTAAATGACAGGAACTTCCTCTGCTGCATTACTTCATATGTCATCTTTCCAGCAACTCCATATTTAAAGATCATCTAAAGGCTTAAGGCAGAATGATTAGTACTGTTTTCTGCAATAAATTCATCTAAAGGCTTACATGACAATGGTTAGTACTGTTTCCTGCAGTATCTTCAGAAAATATGGTGCTTATGTCTCTCTCTTTCTCAATGCTTATCTGTGTGTTTAGTGCAATGCGACGCACGCTAGGCTGCAATAGTGTTCGTTGCATTGCGGTTTAAAAAACAGTGCATCATTTTTATTTATTTTTTACCATGTAGCAACACAATGCACGTTATTGTTGTACCAGGCATTGAAGTCAAGCACAAGAGGTGCGTTGAGATGCCATTCAGAATGCATGGCAATGCAACACACCAGCACACCTAGTGCACGGTGTATTGCACTGTATGATAACATATGCTAAGCACATAGATAGATACCCCTACTGCATACATAGACAATCACTTATATGGCACTAGTATAAGTGCATTTATTCATGTACAGGAGTGATACGGGGGTCTAGCAAAACCCCACTCACATGGTAAGTGTAACTGTCAGAAACTGTGAGGAAAACACCACTAATAAAATTAGGAGTTCACGCACCATTCTTCCTGATCACCTCTATGAACTTTGCATGA